CATGCTATAGGGCTGCTGAAGCCAGCACACTACAGCAGTAGAGGTGTAGAGGTGAGCAGGCAAAACTCTGCTGCCCCCTCCTTCCCTTCCCCTCTTCTGCCCCTTCGTCCTGTCTCCCGTGGTCTGCAGATTCCCCCTAGCCTGCCCCAGATACTGAAAAAGCTCACTGCACTTTCTTAAAATGGCCCAGTAACTAAGGCGCTTGCCCCCACCGTGGAAGACTCTCACAAGGAAATGAATCTCATTCTCCCGTCTGGGCCTGGGGTGTAACCCTAGACCAGAGGTTCTCAAACCGTGATCCATAGACCACGGCTGGGCCACGAGCTCTATTCAGGTGGTCCACAGAAAGGTTGTGGAACAATCGAGAATATCTGTACTTGGCCCTGCACTTGATTTATTTTTATTTTTATTCGTTGAAGTGGTCCGCTGAGACCCTCAGCAATTTTCAAGCAGTCTGCAAAAAAAGTTTGAGAACCACTGCCCTAGACCGCTCAATGGAAGCTGAGGTCAGGTCCCCACCACCCTTCCTTCTGGCTGCTCTTTTAAAGAAAGTGGCAGATACAGCTCCATTTTGTATCTGATCTGATAAGGATGTACTAGTGCTAGTCATGGATGTACTAGCCATGCTCTGAGAACACCTACCAGACTCATCCTCCCAGGGACCTGGGGTAATGAAGGCCTAGGTTTTGGATCCCGTTGGTTAGTTGCCAGCCGGGCACTCGTTACTTAGCTCTATCAACATGAGGTGGTTCTGGACACTTGGAGAGGTACAGATCTATGCATCTATTATCGTAAAAACAGGGGGCCTATGGAGTTGTGCTTCCAAAATTAGGAAACAGGAGTGGAGGTTTTGGAGACTGTGGTTTGGTACTCGGACACCTTTCCCTTGCAACTCACCATGGGCACTTCTGGCCCGTGGATCTGATCAGCTGGGATCCCTGACTTCATGTGAACCTTCCCCAGAATACTCAGATCCATGCAGAGGAGCAATATAAGTTTTCTCTCTAAATAAAGTAAAAACTCAGCCTTTTATAAGGCCCGCTCTGGCTGCATGCTTGCCTGGTTACATGGGAAAGGAGATGAATAGTGAAAGACGTTGTATTCCGTTAGTATGATTGGGGACATTGTATTAGATAAGCACCAAGTTCACAGGTCAAAAGTGCCACGTTTTCTTTACAGTTAGCATGAACCTAACATAGATTAGATTAGTGTTTTGTTCAGTTTATTTTAAATTGACTACATGTTAACACTATTCAATGAGCTTGGATAATCTGACAAACAGATTCCTGAGCTTTTAATCAACCCAAATTGAATGGATGACCCTGTATTAAAATAAGCCCCTGTATACATTAACCAGAATACACACACACACACAAATATTTTACCAGCCCCTTATGCATCTGAGATTGTCATCTAGTCAGCCTGGATCAAATAATTGAATGGTGGATCGCTAACGCACGTGATCCTTAATTGAGGAACTCTTCCTCTGAGGTGAAAGTTTTGCAGGATTAAGGTTTGAATTGACCTTTTATTCTTAATTGTGATGCCGTGTCAACTCTTATCTCACCTGCCTGGAAGCACTGGAATTGCCTTGAGATGTGCTACATAATGTGGCTGAATCCTGAAATCGCCTTCCTGAATATTCATAATCTCTTGGCACTCCATCAGAGTGACAAGTTAAGGTGTATTACTACTCTCATTTCTCTTCTCGGCTGCACTACATAGCATGCATTGTTCTGGGTCACATTGCCCACAAAACCCTCTTTCCTACAAATTAAAAAAAGAGAAAACAGTTGTAAAAAAATTTGGAAAGTACAGCTACCATGGTTGTAACTTGGGTTCCAGTGTGCCTTGGGCAGCGCTCACAGTTTTGTGCACATTCATATCTGCTGTTATTCATTTGTATTGTAGCACTGAGGAGCCCCGGGCCTGAATCGGGACCCCATGACATTAGGCAGTGTATAAATACATAATTGAGTCCCTTTATGAATGGTTTTTACTGTATATAGACCAGGTGTAAAGTGTTCGGGTTGTCCACAAAACTTTCAGAGTCAGTCAGCAGTTTAGCCTAGCCCAAAGCCCTCATCGCTTTAATTTCATGTGAAGGATGAGGTGTCCTGCAGCGTTCTGCCTGCCAACTCTTTGTCCTATGTTTTGTATGAATTACACTTGCATTTAAGACCACCAAATGTAAAATGCTCAGCTTGTAATCAGAAATATTGCAGACAGAAGATTTCAGGTCTGATCTTGCAAGCCCTCTCCAAGCATAGACCCACTGATGTCAACACTATTTTCAGTGGAATTGAAAAGGGAAGCAGCTGACAAAGTCAATATGTTATTAAATTATCTCATTTACAAAGCTGAACAGAGGTATACAATTGGCTCCAAGTGTCAAATACAGTTCCCAGCCATCCTGCGGGAGTCCTGTTATTTAGTCTGTGTTCCAGACACCCTGCCTTTGCTTTATTAGCTCCCTGCTGAAACAAGATAATTATTCATAATCTGCATGTGTGGGATCTAGACAAAAAAAGGCTCTTGAAATTCAGCTGCTTTAATGAATGGCTGTTAACTTGTAAAACACAAGGTTTCCTATTATATACGGGCATCATTTAGCCAAGAGACAACCCCCTGTGGCTGCTCTACAGGATCAGAGGGCCTCCTTGCCGCAGAATGAACACACTTCTGTCACACACAGGAGCGGCAGAACAGGAGGATTTCGGGCCAGGGAGATGTATCCAAGTGCACAGAGGCTAGTGCCGGGATCTCTCCAGGAACCTTGCCACAGGGCTAAAAGACGCGAGTCCCGGCGGAGCTGAGCACATAGCAGTGCGATGCTATTGCCACAACAGTTGCGTTATGGGATTCACTGGCTTCCCCAGGGCCTAAAGAAGGTGCCTAGGATGGCAGCATTTCAATCCAGCCTAAAAAATGCCACTTTCCTCTCTCCTCCCTACCCCAAGCTAACATTACAAAGAGAAAAAAAAAAAAAGAAAATCACAAACCCCCTTGCTCATCTCATATAATCTTCTGGAAAAAAATGCAAAAGGATAATGGTTAATAGGAAAGCAAATCCTCCTTCGAGGCCTACAAAAATCATTTTTTGGCGTCCACATGAGGCTTCAACCCGTATTGCTCACCTTCCCCCCCGAAGAATGCCTGTGCTTGGATACAAGAGGCCCTACTGCACAGTCAGCTTTAAAATCAAGACATCCTAATACCTCCTGCAGCAAGGTCTGTTTTTAAATGATAATTTATCCATAGCCAAATAGAACTCGATGTGACACATGCCCTTGGATCTCTGAAGTACCTGGCATTTTCTTTCCTTAAAAATCACACACAGAGGACTCTGCGACTTCTTTCTTCAATTTGCAACTGAATTCTCCGCTTCTATCTCTATTGGGCTGCAACCGGGGCAGCTTGATCTGTGCATACATCAGCTAAGGACACAGCTCTAAAAGTCCAAGTCAATCTTGTTGGCCAGCCAAGCACGTATGTGGAAGAGGACTGTTTTCACTGTTATTGTGTATGTTTGTCTTAATACCATCCTACCTGTTTTGATTAGAAAAAAAGATTAAATGCGTAGCCTTTTTTGGTAAGGATTTCAAATCTGGATTTATCTGTCATTTAAGTTCAGTGTTTATTTATCTAAGTCTTCCCATTGGCTTCAGTGGATTTTGAGTGAGGCCGCAGCATAGGAGGCCCTAATTTATACCAGTGTATGACAGCAAAATAAGACACTTAAATGATCACTGGCCACATCTACACATGCACGTAACTGTGGAATAGACTAATTAGCTGCGGAGTAAAGCGTCACCATCTACATGTGCAGCATTATTAGGCCGCAGTGAGCTAACACCACTGTAAGATAGTACTGTCTCACACCAGGGTAATTTACTGTGGTTAAACATATGTGTAGATGCTGACCGTGAGTGTAAATTGTGCCCAGTCAGCCCAGCCAGCAGGGGGCCAAATTCCTGCCCGGAGCCTAGCCACACTGTCAGTAGCCTCATGCCCCACCCAGCCCCTCCCCTGCCCAACGCTGCCATCCCCAGGCTCAAACTGCTGCTGTCCCAGGCGCATGTATAGCTGCTGTGCCTGGAAGGAGTTTACTCTGGCTCAGACTGCTCCAGAGTTTATTGCTTTACATTAATTGCATGTATAGATGCACTCACTATAACTTAATCCCACTGTATTCAAAAATGGGTTTTGCATTGCTATAAAATGGCACCATGTATCAATGGCAGTGTTTATTTCGGTATGTAAACAATGCATTTACATTACACCTTGTAAATTAACGATGTGGATTAACAAGGAATTAAACTGAAAAATAGCAAAATATCCTCAATAAGCTAGAAAACTGTGCATTATAAAAACTACACTTTTCTTGACAGGATTAAAAAAGACCTTAAAACTACAGTTACTTTAAAAACAAGCAACATAAATTACATTAGAAATATGGTATAACCAAAACAATACAGTATCAATTATTCTCATAGCAGTCTTTTGAATGTAATGTATCTTCAATAAGGAGAGCTTGACCCTGCATCTGTGACACTCACAAGTGAATCACATCTGAAAGTACAGGTCCATTCCCATTCAGGTCTATGGAAGTTCTTCATTGAATTCAAATGGCAACATGATGATCAGACTGTAAATTATTGGCACTACTCAGAGGAACAAGGGTTACAGATCCAGTCCCACAATCGGCAGTGTATTGGGAGCTTCATTCAAGCTGATTTACCCTACTTCTCATCATCCTCTACTTTGCCGAGTACTTCTTTAAAGGAGGAGAGACTTCAAGTTTACACAAAGCTCTGTCCTGTTGCAGCTAGATAACGTGGGTACCAGAAGCAAGTTAATTTAAAGCTAGATACGGCATCTTTGCCATGGTCTGCTGTGTAGACAGACTCACAGTTCTTCCCTGAAACAAAAAAAAAAATTCTTACCTGAAACACTCAGTGCTCAAGCCTACTCTTGTCAGAGGGAGTGAGATTTTGGTCACTGCAGAAAATGCAGAAAGACTGCGCCCTAAATGGTTATTTTTACAGGTTTAGCCTTTTAACAAAGATTCCACTGAAAATGATAAACTCTGCTTTTGAATTTTTGTTTCTGACGAGCACTCTCGGGATATTCTAGCCAAGTATCTGACGGTCTCTTTGGCCACACCATCCTTATTATTCAGAGGTTGGTTCACATTCTGCTTTCCCCCTATGCCGTGGACGTTCTGTACAATAAAACCTTGCAATCTACTGTCCTGATTGCGGTTGCATACAAAATGCTCTTTAACTTTTTCAAAACGTGCTTGCGTTTTTTCTGCCTCTGATCTCAGCTTCCTCTGAAAGGAGCTATGCTCTGCGGAAAAGACACCGGCCTGAGTCAGTTCCCTCCATTCACAGGCCCTTTCTTTGCACATTTCTGCCCATTTCACAACATTCCCAGCCAAGGCAGATTTCTGCACAGAGCTGCTTTTGATCTGGCTTGATGCAAAAGTAATTACATTCAATGGAAAAAAACCTTGCGTCTGACAATGGCAGTGCCCGTACTCTAGAACGGTAGTGCTTGAATGTATCAGAGGAAAACAGACATTTAGAAAATCATGGTTAAAATATGTGTCACAAGGCTGGTTGTGTCCAGTCCTAACCACATTAGTTTCTGTGACTGGTAAGCAGTCTTCTTTTGGTCTTTGGGGACTGTGCATGCCAGCTGGGTCCTCCAGTTCTCTCTGCCCGAGCTCTCTCTCCAGCATTATGCACTCCAGCTCTTTATCTGCAAATGTTCTTCGTTTCCTCATCCTCTCGCTCAAGTTAGAAATAAGACGTTGGTTTTCCTGTGGAGGAGGTTTATAGCCTAGGAGAACAATGGAAAGCTTTCTTGAGTGTTTTCTTTATCAATTATCAATCCTGGAACTTCTCGCTACAAAAGATTTGGGCTTTCTTCGGCTTAGTGCCATGCAAACACACGGTAACAAGTTGTCCCTACCTTGCATATCTTACCTTTAGAGTAAGCTGGCCAAAACTTTTTTTTTTAGCAAAACGTATTTCATTGGCTGACAGTTTCATGAAACTGTGCTCGTTTCAATTACTTTTTTGGATGACGTTTTTTTTTCCAGAATAACTTGAAATAGAACTGAGTATTTTACTTTCCTCAGTCTTCCTATTTGCAGCTTTTGAGCTGTTACTCATGTTGCCCTGCCCAGACACACCTACCTTCTTCCTCCCTGGTCCTGATGGAAACAGTAAAACATTAGCTGAAAACAAAATATTAGTATTTGTTCTTTTCTTGAACCAAATCATTTCCCGAATTTCTGTTTCACAAAAATGTTTTAAGCATTGTGGTTTTGTCCTGAACTACGACAAAATACAATTATGGAACAGCAAAGTTATTTGTGAGATTAAACTGTCAGGCGTTCTAAACCTGAATAACGACTGCAAGTAGATTTACAGTCGAAGTAAGCAAGAAACAAAGAAAGAGGTCCTGAGAACAGAGAAGCAAAGTGACTTGTGCATGCCCACCTAGGAGAAAGGCAAGGAATAAAGCTAGAAATAGTCCCCAAACCTTCTGACTCCCAATTCACTTTCCTATCAGCTATACCATGCTACCTTCTTTCCACTTACAGGTTGCCAAGAGTCCTAGTATTTTATATTCAGATCAAACAAAACATTTTTCATTGGGATTAACATTTACACAAGTATAATTACATATATATAAACATACAGGGAGACTCACAAGTATAAGGCCTTCTTCCAGTGAAGTCAATACAGGAGCTATAATAAGGACAAAGGCCGAGCTGCCAGGACCTCCTGCATAAGATAGGCCATAGACTTTCAACTGAACAATTCTTTCATTGAGTGCAAATACATGTGGCTGAAGCAAAGCATCTCTGTGTCAGGACTTCAAGCAGTGGCGAAGCCATGACATCCCCTGGCAGTTTGTACTAATGGTTAAACTGCCCTTGTTAAAAAAACAACAACAACAACAAACTGGACTTTAAATCCTTATCAACTCGCGAGCTTCTTAGGTTCTGGAGCAAAATTATGTGTCAACAGTTATAAATTGGTTTAAGAACGGCAGGTTTCATTTTATTTTAATCTAGGAACCAATTGAAATTAAGACTAAATTTAAAAAAAAATTGATAAAATATCCAAGCAGCCAAAATTGGGCATTAAGTGTGGACCCCACCTCCACCCCCTCAAAAACAGATTAAATTTTATGCACAATTCTTCCTGGTTTTGAGTTGCAGGTCTCAAGGTTTATTCCAGTCCCCTCCCCCTAATCTAAATCATTTTTTGATTTATTAGAATTCAAGTACATTTTTTAAAAGGGTAAAGTTGGGGAGGGGGGACCTGCACCCCCTGCCCCTCTCCCCCCCGCCCCAATACAAATATTTTGTTTTGGGTGAGATGACTTTCTCAGTTGTCCCAAGCAAATTCCCCCATCCTCAATTCACCTAGAAAACCAACAAAGCAAATGCACGGGTCTCTGCACTGCTTCAACCAGTGTGGTGAAGGAGAGAAAAAGCATGCCTTCTGTTCCATTTAAACAAGCCCTAATTTCTACTGTAAGGCCCTGCAAGGCATTTAAGCACATACCTAATTCTAATAAGCCATGATTCAAAACTGCGGGATCCCCAGCATGCATGAAGTTAGGTGTGTTTGTAAGGAGTTTGCTGTGTCGGGGCTAATCTGGCTTCATCTTCCTGCCACTAGATGTTGCCATACTAAGATGAAGAGCCATTCTTTCCACGAAGGCAGTTGCAGACCGTCACTTCATGACATTATCATTGGACAGATAACACTTGACAAAGTAGATTGTTGCCTATGAAAGCTCCTGCCCCTGAACCAGTTAGTCTCTAAGGTGCTACCCGGTCCTACCTTCTGCATAATATTTATTAGAGGTTGGTTTAAAGCCCGAGGAAAACAACTTGCATCTTTCCCAAAATCTTAAGGTTTTTAAAAAACTGTTAAGTGTCACAACTCGGGATATCCTTATTATCCACGTAAATTAGTCAAATGCAACATGATAAAATGAATGCATGTCCTTCTTTGAAGCTGAGGGACTAGCACAGAATTTCTGTGGAAAGCCATAGAAAATGTCAATTAGGATTTAGAATCAAGAGCATACAGCAATAAAACCAGATCCCACTGCAACATTTAATATTTTAAAACAGCAGAACCTCTTTGATGCCTCTTTTAAGTCTGGTTGTACAACCTGGGATAAGCAGTCTCTTTCTTGGATTTGCCAAAGGTCTGCTGATAGAGAAGCTGTTTTGAGCGTGGTAGTTTCACAGAAGTAAACTGTGGGCATGTCTACAGGAGACATTTACTGAGCAGCTGCCAAATTAACTGCACACTAAACATCTTGCCATTTCCATATGCCCTATTTGGGCACAGGAAATACATTCTGCAGCAGGGTACTACTTGCAAAATGCAACCGCAACTCTGCTGTGGAGGTTTTCGTGCATGGTAGCACACGGTCAACCCTGCCCTGGCTGGCTGGGGCACAGGGGGCATCTGTGTAGGGCTAGCTGGCAGGCAGCCACCATGCTGAAGCCCCCCTGCAGCATGCGGAGCCTGGTCGGAGCAGCCCTAGGCTGGCAGACTGACCCCCTGGGTCCATTGCCTCATGCTGCTCTGACCAGGCTCCATGTACTGCACGCAAATACGCTCCAGAGTTTATTTGTGCCCATTAATCACATGCGTAGTGGTGCCCTGTTGGAGCGAAACAAGTTTTGTAAAGAGTGCCCTACCAGGTATTGTAATACTAAAAGCATAGCTTCTCTAACACCAGCCAAGGGATTTTTATATTTTTTTACTATATTTTGCAAGATTAAGGGCCTGAGTGCATGACCCTGAGTAGTTTACACCAATCAGCCTTACAGAGGACAAGAGAACTATTTCCTGAATGAGGCATTCCTCACTATAAGCAAGGGTAGGTACCACAGTCCAATCCTAAGTGTTAAAACTGGAAACTATTAACAAACCAGCGATTTCACCCAGCTGGGGTCCCCTGACCCCAGCGCTCTTTCCTGCCCAGAGCAGGGGGTCGGACTCCGTGATCTAATAGGTCCTTCCGGCCCTAAAATCTATGAAATCTCTGAAACCTTTCCGTGGATTCTACGTCTGTAAAAACAGATCTAAAAGGACTATGTGCTAGCTTTGGCACGTGCGCTTTAAAGCTGCAGGTAATTAAAAATAATTACTCAGCAAAGTACTTACTACTTGCCTAGTTTCAACTGAAAGAGTAGCCTTACTGAAACAGATCCATCATGCCTAAAGTTGGGCACGTGCCGAACAGGGAACACAGGTAAACGCCTACCTTCCAGTATGCTTTTGACCAAAATATTGGTGTTCTTGGGATAACGCTGATACTTCAGCCTGCGACTGGAAACCGAACATTCACTATCGACACTTTTCTTAGCCTGTTCAAAGTCATGGAAAGAAATATGACAAGTTATACAATTCATTTCACTCCGTTTTGTTGCTAGAATACGACTAAAACGAGCATTTACTCAAATTATTTTGAAAGAAGGAGGAAAATATCAGTCAAAAGGTTTTAAAAAAGAAAAATCTCTCTATAATCTTATTTGATAAATCCCACCTAGACATTTGAGCTTGTTGTTAACTGCATCTTGTTGGAAATCTAGAAACTTAACACACATTTAATTATCTGAACAGACTTTCATTTTGTTGCAGACTTAAAGAGGGGAAAGCAACCTTCTTCATTGACTCCCTTTCCCCTTTTCACCACTTAAAACATGCGAGGGCACGCATCGGCCAGTGAAAAGCGAGCCGCTGCTAACACACCGGGCACGATCCTGTCCAACAGATGCTGGTTCTTCAGCACAATCTACATTTCCTATAGAGGCTCACAGACTCTGCAGGGAAAAAGCACCTGTCTGACAGGGCTACTGCAGCTCTTCTTCATTCTTCACCCCAGGACAATTACAGAGGAATTGAGATTTCAACCCCAAAGCGTTTGCGGCCGCAAAGTAATTCTGTAAAAATAAGGTGTAGACGACAGTGCTGTTTTTGAAATATGCATTCAAAGGGAGCATTCCTCCGCTCCTTACTGAAGCCCCGAACTCCTTTTCTTGATGCCGAAGTAAATGTCAGCTGTCAGGACTACGCAGGCCGGGACTTTTGACAGCAGGAGCCCAATGCCGAGATGCACTCACCGCACTCCCCACCGGAGACCTGCCGCTGGAGGGGGCAACGTCCCAGCCGAGAGCTCGGGAACGCTGCCACTCGGCTCAAAGAAGCGGCTCAGTTTCCCAGGCCCCGAGGGCGCTGGGGCTGGGGAGTGCTCGGCACTGGACGCCATGGCCACCTGTCCAGATGCTCCACCAGCCAGAGCCTGCCTGAACAGCCACTTCCCTTATTTGAGGACAGTGCCCAGCGCCCTAAATCTGGATGTGCAAAACAGCAGCCAGATGCGGGTGGGGCTGGGGTGGCTTCACACAGCCGCAGCCTTTCCCCGACACCAGCAGTGCCCTACCGGGTCCATCCTGTCCCCAACATCCAACTCATCTCCAATTATTCAACACCCCTTCCCTGGCTTCCTTCCACCATGAGGTGCCACGAGCAGAGCCACGGATGTGCCAGCCCCAGCCTCCCCTTACACGAGGCTTCCCACACGGTATCTGGAACACCCCTGCGAAAAATTTTTTTTAAAGAAAGTTTTGTAATTGTACCCATTTCACAGCTGCAGCAAACCGAGGTAACTGGAAACCCCCTAAAATAAAAAGAACTAATTGTACCCATTTCACAGGCGTGACAAACTGAGGTAACTGGAAAACCTCCTGAAATAAAAATAATTAATTGTGCCCATTTCACAGGCGTGGCAAACTGAGGTAACTGGAACCCCCCCCTAAAATAAAAAGAATTAATTGTACCCATTTCACAGGCGTGGCAAACTGAGGTAACTGGAACCCCCCTTAAAATAAAAAGAATTAATTGTACCCATTTCACAGGTGCGGCAAACTGAGGTAACTGGAACCCCCCTTAAAATAAAAAGAATTAATTGTACCCGTTTCACAGGTGCAGCAAACCGAGGTAACTGGAAAACCCCCCTAAAATAAAAAGAATTAATTGTACCCGTTTCATAGGCGTGGCAAACTGAGGTAACTGGACCCCCCCCCCCCCAAAAAAAAAAAAAT